TTATTTAACAGAGATTTAATCGAAACTTTTCATATTGATTTAATAGTTGTTGCTTTCACTATTATTTTAATTATTAATATTACTATAAAATATTTGCATGATTTCTTAATGAATGAGTTTACGTCTGATGTTTGGTAATTTAGACAGGAAGACATAAGCAACGATTACCGATACCTTTTCAATATTACTCTAACTTACAACTATGGCAATGTTTAAAAATGCAAGTGTAGGAAAAATAAAAATTGCCAAATATAAGCTGAGAGGACTTAAATCTGCTTTGTTCGATAAGAACTTTTCACGTTAGTTTAAATCTGCATATTTAAAACAAGAGATCTACGCATTTGGGTGATACAAACAAAATAGAAATAATAATAATCTTATGCCAATTATAAGAACTTATAAAAAAATTTAATTCCTACTATATAACTACTCCATATATGAATGTACAAATATAGTAAAAAAAGTCCGCTGCCATCAAACTTGGGTGTGGATTGATCGGTGTGTCAGACGATTCCTTCGAAAAGGTTGTATTAAAAAGTGGTCTAACATTATTTACTCCAAATTAATTTATGATACGTATTGTAAATGCAGATCTTAACAAATATAAGTGTACTTAATAAATATAAATGGAGATTTTTTTGAACGGATTCTTAATATACAAATATCCTAATTATTAATTAACATGAATCGTCATCTTTTTAAACTTGTAAAATTGTTGTTCTATAAGTAATTCAAGTTCTTTATATCCATATTTCGGTTATACGAAAATTGTACAGAATTTTTAAATATTATATACATAAATGTACTAATTGTTTAAATTTTAATCAACTTTTTTTTTTTTGTTTAGTTAGTCATAATATGATTAAACTTCAGTCGGCTTTTGGCAATTTCCGTTTTCTCCTTAAATTGTTTTACGTCTAAAGGTTTGCGTGTATTACAGTCAAATATTTAACAAGTACCAAACCAATATATTATATTTTACGTTAGATTATTTTTACCTTCACTTTTAAGGAAAATAAATTTGGTGCACATTCTAAATGCATTCTATAGTTCAACCACATAAATTCTGTCATCTAAAGAGTACATGCACACTCGGATGGGTTAAAAAAAAAAACAATTTTTTCGATTAGTACTCTGAAAAATAGGTTCTTTGACAGCTCTGAGGAATCTAGCTTACATTTACTTGATACAATCTCTTTTAATAGATTTTATAGAAAATTGAATGCTCTACAAAATGGTCTCTAATGATTTTTTTATACAAAAACATAACCGTTTAAAAGGTATTAAGGGTTTAAGTGTGATTATTTTAAAAAATGAATTTTATAACTCAGTGAAAAAAAAAATGTAATTGGAAAAATAGTTGAAAATTTTCTACTCAACAAAAATGGCTTCTTTTTTATTTATTTTTTATTTTTTTGTCGTTGATGGTTGCTAAACTTATTCGAAAAATTATAAGGCCTTTTTTCAGAGAAAAAAGAAATTTGGCTTAAAATAATCAAACTAAAATCGTTAATGTCTTTTAAACAATTAGGTTTACGAAAAGCTGGATTTGAATTTTTCAATCAAATACTTTAAGGCGTTGGACCTTCCCGTTACGATGAAGAGTTCATGCTAGGAGAGATTTTCGTAAGGGAGCCTAAGAACGGCTTTTCAGAGGACCAAGCGAAAAAAAGTATTTGCTTTTTTGATTAACCCTGATTTCATTAAGATCGGTTGAGAAGTGCGCGAGGAATCTTATCAACCGACTTTGGAAACTCAGTTTTGAAAAAAAAACTATTAATCGAAGCAACCCAGAATTTAGGACAATATTTTTGAGATTTTATGGAATTAAATAAAATAATAAGAAAGCTTATAGATACAGAACAGTGTCAAATTATCTGTAGAAGAAATTATCAAAGAAATAGTGGATTATTGTCATTTTTGCATGCTTACATACACATGCTCTTATAATTATAGTAGAATTTTTACAAGAGGCTGAATTTTAAAAATTTATGAAAAGAAAGATCTCCACATTATACTTTAATTAACAAGACGGAGTGAAGGTACTCCGCGCTGGAAAGGCTGCTGGAAGACAGTACCATTCAATGGTGCACTGATGGTTCTGAAACCCCGGAAGGTATTGGGACAGGTATTGTGGGACCACGTACCGGGCTGTCCATAACTATGGGCTGCTCCAAAGTATCTTCCAGGCAGAAGTTTTTGTCATCTATCAGTGCGCTGAAGTCAACCTCAGCCGTAACTATCGCAACTATTCTCAGTGATCGTCAAGCGGCTCTCGTATGACAAAATCGCTTTTAGTTGAGGAATGCATAAAAAGGCTAAACCACTTGTCCTTGTGCAAGAGGGTGCACCTAATGTAGGTACCAGGGCACAAGGGATTAGAAGGTAATGAGAAGGCCGACGAACTGGCCCGCACTGCGGCAGCATCCAAGATGTTGGGACCAGAGCCATACATAGCGCTAGGACACTCTTAAGAAGCTGCTCCGCTCAGAGCAGTGGCGGCAGGCAGCAAGCATGCGCCACGCCAAGCTGCTCCTGGGAGGATACAATCTCTCCAGATTTAAAGAACTAATCCACCTCCCCCGACAAAAATTTCGTCTCCTCGTCGCAATCTACACAGGGCACTGTAAGCTCATCAAACACCTGTCCAACATGGGCATAGTCTCCTGTGCTAACTGCCGGTTCTGCGACCTGGAACAGGAAACACCAGCACACCTTAACCTGGATTGCACAGCAATCTGTGGAAAAAGGCTCAAGGCCCTGGCACTCCGTCTGCATCAGCAGGGATCACATCACCTCACTAGCGCCCGGCAAACTCCTGGAACTATTCAAACTTCGTAACTATATTTTGCTAACTTGAATTTTTGAGAATTCCTGAAATTACCATTCACAATGATTGGTGTTTAAAGACACTTGCAGGAGAAAAAAACTTTTAATGCGCATTACTTATTTAGTGAAAGTTTTCAACCCATCAGAAAAGTTTTTTTTTTTTTGTAGTATTATTTGCATTTGAAAGCTTGAAATGCGCTTATGTCTACATCATCATATATTAATAAGTATTCACATTTGAGTGCACATACCTTTATGTGACTCGCAACCTCTACATCAAATTCATTTATACAAATACAACAATTCGTTTTCTTATTTTATTATCTGTTCGGATTACTTCAACTGAAAAATTGTACAGTTTTAATGTACACAAAGTCATACCATTAGCTCATATAACGATACTAACAAGTAAGGAAGAACGGAACGGTTAATTTTCTCGCACTTTCCAATCGATGGAATAATTTCGAAAATTTTATATTAGTAACCCAGGTCTACCTAATTTAAGTAATATTCAGCAAATTTTCTACTTAATTTCCGTTAAAGAAAATAGTTTTTGAGATATGTATATTAAACGAGTGTATAACGTAATGCCGACAATCAATATCTTGAAATTTAGAATTCTGACAACCAACATTTTGATTTAGCTGCATATTTAAATTTTGTCGGTATTTTGATGTGTCGGCATTTTAAACTTCGGTAGTTGAAATGTAACCCGATACAAATATTTCAAACTGATAATAATAAATAATAGAAAAACATTAGGCGGACGACATTCCCGTTATAATTAAGAGCTCATACTTGAAGAGCACTTATATGCCTATCAACATTCACTTTTTTGACCCATTGTAACATTTTGTTAAAACTCTTCCACTGAGACATAAACTCAAATAAACTCGACCAAAGGAACGAAATTGATTATATTTGGGAGCAATTCGGACGGAATGTGTTGAAATGAAGAAAGAGGTACTTGATTTATATTATATATGTATGGATGTATACGCTTCGAACCTCATCAATTGCCGTAGAAAAATTACGTACAAATTTGGAATTTATTTTCGGCATACTCAAATAGATACCAACCCTTAAAAACACTAATTGCACTATTTATTGCACAGTAAGAAAAAAAGATAGAACTTAAAATTGTGTTATATAGGAAGTAGCCGTGATTGTATTCTGATTTCGTTCATTTTTTAACTGTAACGGGAGGGGCAAAGGTAATAGTATCTAATTTGATTAAAAATTGCTTGAGTAGTTGATAGAAAAAAAGAAGGTGGTGCCACACCTACTATCTACTTTGCATACCAATTTAGATGCATCCATTCCATACCATCCGAACTGCAAGATGTAGTAGCTTTCAATTTTTTCTTTAGTGAACTAACGCACTTTAGTGGTTTTCAAAAGTTGTACCGGGTTGTTCAATAAATTTATCGTTCAATTAGAGAGGACATTGCTACTAGGCCACAATTTGTTTTGTTTTGTTGTTTTCATATGAACGAAAGTGAAGTTTCATTAGTGGCACCGTGTCACCGTATTTAAAAAAAAAATTGATAAAAATTGGAAGGGGTAACACGAAAATAAATTCACAAACGAATATTTAAGTAAAATGATTGTTTACCTACAATTAGAACAGTATATAGATGGATTCCTGAATTTAAACGTGACTGTGCAAGCCTTGAAGACGATCCACATGAAGGACGTCCAAAAAGCGCAGCAACAACAGAAATCATAGCCGAAATACAAGATATGGTTTTGGAAGATCGTTGATTGTCTGAGAGAGATTTAGTAGAATCTCTACACATCTCATTAGGCAGTGTAAGCCATATTTTAAATTTGGGTTTTAGAAAGCTATTAAGAGTGGTGTGAACCTGGTTGTTCGGCTTCGAAACGAGTTCGTGTCCGGAAATCGGTCAAGACGGTTATGGCATCAACTTTTTGGGATGCGAGAGGAATTTTGTGTGTGCATTACTTGCAAACTGGTAAAACCATTAGTTCTGAATATTATTGCAACCTTTTGTACCAGTTGAAGGATCAAAAATCGTGAAAAAAAAACCCGGTTTGCAAAAGAAATAAATCTTTTTGCACCAGGACAATGCAGCGTGTCACAAGAGCATTTTGGCAAAGGCTTCATGAATTATAGTTCGAATTGTTGGAGCATCTATCGTATTCACCAGATTTAGCCCCGACTTCCATTTATTTCCATAACTCAACAAATGTATACGTGGCAAGCGTTTTTCATCAAATGAAGAGGTCATAACGGCTGTTGAGGCGTATTTTGCAAACCTTCCGGATTCTCACATCAGGGATGGGAACCACAGGTTGGAGGATCGTCAAAGCAGGTGTATTAATGTTCAGGGATATTATACTGAATAATAAGGTGTATTTTGATTAATAAAATTGTGTTTTTCTTATCAAACGACAAAATTATTTAACAACCTGGTATATAGCTTCATTTATAACTTAATTACAGAACTTTATATTATATCGTTTAAAGGCACTTTGTAGGCTGACAGTGCTCCGAATTTGCTAATCTGCAATTTTCTCCATTTTCACTCAAGTTATCGCTTGCACGGATAGACGAACGTCCTGAATTTAAATCGACTCTCTCTAGATTATTTACAAATAACCGTTTGGTAATCAAATACACTCAGTGTAACATATTGTGAGAGTATAAAGAACGATTATCAATTTCTGTTTACGTAATGCTATTCTCACAAGAACTAAATGGATAATAATTCATAAGTGAGCCCCTTCAGCAAACCGTATAATTTTCTATGGTGTCTGCACGTAATTGTTTATGGCTATTGGGAAGTTCACTCAATGGTGATGATATTTGGTTGGGTACTTGTTATATACTTATAATTATTGTAATGCAACCTTTCCAGCATCAGGTCTTTTACGTTGGTAAGTACTAATTTAGGCTATTTGTATTAAATGAACTTAAATCTAATCTTATTGTTAAACTCAGTATCTTTTTCTCTTGCCTAATTATTCTATTTTCTGCAATATTTTCTCACTTTGACCTGTGCAATTGTACGAGTATTTCTTTGTCAGTAACGTGTAGTGTTGGACCTGACAACAGAGGGAGCCGAAGGGTCAACAATTACGGCTACCGTATTTTCCATCGGTAATCCCGTGCGCTCCTACAGCTATACTAAATGTCCATCGGCATCGGTGTATGCCAATGTTGTACCAGTAGCAGCATTGAAAGTGCTAAGGTTTGCCGGATCATATGTCCCGCTTGCGGTCATCAAAAGGTTACCACTAATACCGGCAGATGTGGGAATATTGAGAATTTGAAGACTACCTGAAGCAGTTGGTACACCCACACCAACTAGATTCGCACTTAATATCTGTTGCTGTGGTTTACACCTATTTGGATCCTTAAGTATACTTTGAGGCTGTTTGGAGGTGCTGCTTGGAATCGTTGACATCATACTCCCGTTACCTGTAATGCTTGTGGTTTGTGTGGAGCATGAATTATTTGAAATATTTATTGGATGCAGTTCGTGAAGCAATTGGATGTTGCTAGCACCAGTCAAACTAGTATTCGTTAGTTGAGTAACATCGGGAGGCGGCATTCCCACAACTCCACGCATAATTCCTCTACGAAGGGTGCCGCTTCCACTGCCAATCATGGCATTACTACTTATTATAGATGCCTGCGTAATCGGTTGAAGATGTGCCATTGGTAATGGAGGCGATGCAAAATCTAGTTGAGGAGGATAATCCTGTTGGCAGAAAAAAAACATTGCTTAAATGAAACTTTTAAATATCTCTTATAAATCATTGACTATTATACAGGATGAAAAAACATAAAATAAGAGAAAAGGCTATAATATTTAAAATTACAGTAATAATAATTATAAAATCTTTGCATATGACATCAGAAAAATCTATTAACATTCTCATTTGACGATATTTCCAATGGCATGGCATACTTGTTTTGATATTGTTAGGTCTGTTTTGTATTCTTAAAATAACTCTCAGATAATGAAGGAACAACTTTATGAATTTTATATGGGATATTGCTTATCAAATTTGCCCATAACGCTTCATACTAGTCTTACTAGTGTGGGAATGAAACGATATGGCAACACAGAAAAGGCAGAAGAAGAAGAAGAGTATCAGCAAGACGAGTAAGAAGTGTACGACGTGCGGCAAGATAGAGATGAATTAATTTTAATATAAATTCTTATATTTCTTTAAATTTCCTTTGTATTCTTCAAATCAACAGTTTTGTTTAATAAACCACATTATTAATTTGTTAAATATAATTAATCTTAACTACGTAATTGATCTTGCCCACAAATTTGGGGGAGAATTACTTTCCATTTGCAACTTGCTACAACTGAGCTGCAAACAGGAAAATGTACAGTTGCATATCTTTCGAAATCTACAAAAAGGGAATTTGCTTGGTTCCAACGATAACGACGAAGACGATAATGATGACGATGAGAATGACGACGAAGAAAATGACGACGATTGCGAAAGCGGTGAGGTAGCAACAGGAAACATAAACGGCAGAAATTGCGCAGAATTGGCGGACAAGTGTACTAACCAGTCTAATCCAATTAGAAAAACAACCAACACTCATAAAAGAGAAAACGATCATTGCTTTGCATCATTTTTAAGCAACGACTATGTAATCGAAAAAGAGATCACAATAACATCGAGAAGCAGAAGAGCACAATCATCATAATTGTCCAGATTTGCGATGAATTTTCGCGATGTAGAAGAGACAATACGATGGAACAGACAATTGAAGTTTGGATAAACGAATTCGAGGAAACAGCAGCTGTTATGGGATGGGATGATTTTCAAACATATGTATTTGCTAAAAAGTCCATTAAAGGTACTGCAAACTTATTTCTGAACAGCGAAAGGGGAATGGTTTCTTGGGAAAAGATGAAATGTGCATTGTTGAAAGAATTTCAAACAGCAACGAACAGTGCTACCATACATAAACATAAACAATTAAGTGAAAGAAAAATTAAAAAAGATGAAAACGTACAAGATTATTTCTTTACAATGAAAGAAATCGCATCAAGAGGAAACGTTGAGAATGCTGCTTTTWTCCAGTATGTGATCGATGGCATAAGGGATTTAAGTTTAAACAAAAGCATTTTGTATGGCGCTCATAATGTAACAAAATTTAAACAAAAACCTAAGATTTACGAAATGGTGCTATCGAAATCAAAAGATGAAGAAAAAGAAATAGTTAAGAATAAGAAAGTAAATAGTGATTTTAACAAAGAAATAATAAATTCAGAAGAACGAAGTATAAATAAATTCAGAAAAACAGTGAATAATGTTGAAGCGAAAGTGATTGTAAAGACAGAGAGAAAGGGGTAAAGGGTTTTAGGTGTCATAACTTTGGCCATGTGTCGAAAAATTGTCCAATCAAAAACTTACAAAGTGTCAAACGTAATTTACAAATTGTTAAAACAAGTAAAGATATAATGATGAAAGAAGTAAGAATGGCAGATAAGAAGTGGTTAGCTTTGTTTGATACAGGCAGTAAATTTAATGTTGTTACATATATAATGTACGAATTATTAAATAAACCGAAGTTGATAGAACCATTTTTTTATTTACTGGGATTTGGACAAAAATCAAATGAGAACGAAGTGAAACCGATTGGACCTTTTGAAAAAAGTGTAGAAATCGACAATAACATTTTCAATTAAAATTTTCACGTCGTACCATCAAACAGTATAGATGTTAACATTATTATAGGTGAAGAATTATATTCACAAGCTGAGGTGCGAATTAATTCAAGTGGTATTTTTGTACAAAAATTAAATACGTGTGATATATTTGAAGAACATGCGCTGATGAAAATTGATATATGTAAAGAATATATAAACGTGAACCCACTCGCTAGTGCTGCTGCAAAGCAAAAAGTTTTTGATTTAGTCGAACTATATACGCCTAATAAAACTAAAACAACAACTGTGAAAATGACAATTGTGTTAAAAGACAATACGCCAATTTTTTCTGCACCTAGAAGACTTCCTTTTTGTGAAAGGCAGATAATTGATAAGCAAGTTGAACAATGGCTTGAAGACGGAATTGTTGAATCTTCAGAGTCTGAATTCTGCAGTCCAGTAGTATTGGTGAAAAAACGCGATGGCACACCCAGGCTGTGCATAGACTACCGACGCATAAACAAAGTAATAATTAAGGACAGATTGCCACTTCCCTTCATTGAAGGCCAACTCGATCGACTACAAAGCACCAGCAAAGATATTTAGCACGATTGATCTAACAATCGGGTTCTTCCACGTTGAAGTGTGTGATGCAAGTCGCAAGAATACATCATTTGTAACACATAACGGTCAATATCAGTTTCTCAAGGTTCCATTTGGATTGTGCAACTCTACTGGCGTTTTTCAGAGGTAAGTAAATGTTATATTTCGAGATTTTACAAAAGAGGGAATTGCTCTCCCTTACAGCGACGACGTTATAATTCCGGCAACTGACGAAAATGAAGGGCTATTCGATTAGAAAAGGCCTTCAAATTAATAAAACGAAATGCCAATTTTTACAAAGACGAGTGGAATTTGTAGGCCACGTTATAGAAAATAACCAAGTCACTCCATCAAGTGTAAAAATAGAAGTAGTTATCAAGTATCCATTACCAAAAACGTTGAATCAGTTAGATAGTTTCCTTGGCCTAGCCGGGTACTTTAGAAAGATCATTCGCAATTTTGCATTAATTGCAAAGCCGCTGAATGTTTTGAAGAAGCAAAATATTGTATTTAATATGGGGAATGAGAAAATTAAATCATTTAATACTTTAAAACCCCTTTTAAGTCAAAAGCCAATATTAAGTATATACAATCAGACGTATGAAACGCAAGTACACACAGACGCATCCATAAATGGTTACGGCGCTGTTTTATTACAAAAATCCCCAGATGATGGAATCTGAGCGAAATTTCTACGAACTTGAAGTACTCGCTGTAATAGAGGCTCTTAAAAAGTTAAAAGTTTATTTATTGGGTTTACATTTTACCATTATAACCGACTGTAATGCGTTCGCCAAAACAATAGACAAAAAATATTTATGTACGAGAGTAGCTGGGTGGATAAAGTTGTTGCAAGAGTATGACTACGCTATTTAACACCGTTCTGGTTCAAGTATGCGCACGTAGATGCATCCGTTTTAACAATTACCGCAGATGACGTAAAAATCAAAGATGCTCAATAGCAAGACGACTAACTACGACTAATAAAAGAAATTTTGCAAGAAAGGGAAAGTTATGAAGATTACTTTATGAAGGGTGACTTTTTATATAAATTAATAAATGACAGCGAGTTATTAGTCATACCCAAAAACATGCGAAGAGAAATTATACGACCAGCCCACGAAAAAGGACATTTCGCTTTAGCAAAAACTAAAGATATTATGTCTAAAGAATTCTATTTTTCCAAATTGAATGAAAAAATTCAAAAGTGTATTTCCAATTGCGTTCAATGCTTCGTTGCCAATCGCAAAAGAGGAAAACAAGAGGACGAGTTACAGCCATTACATAAAATAGATACTCCATTACATACGTATCACGTCGATCATTTAGGAGCGTTAGAATCTACATGTAAAATGTATAAGTATATATTTGCAGTAATCGACGCATTTACATAACTTTTTTGGTTATATCCTACTAAATCAACATCAGCAAAAGAGGTCATCAGTAAGCTCAACACGCAAAGCATCAGTTTTGGTAATCCAGTTAAAATTGTCTCTGATAGAGGTTCGGCATTCACGTCCGACGAATTCAAAGAATACTGTCGATCAGAAAACATAAAACATGTTAAGATGACTACAGGGCTACCACGTGCCAACGGCCAAATCGAAAGATTGATCAGGACAATAATTGCAGTATTATCGAAACTAAGTATCGAAGAAGCAACAAAGTGGTATCGTTACGTCGACCGAGTACAACAGGTGCTAAATTCTACATATCATCGAAGCATAAATATGACCCCGTTTGAAATATGACACCGTCATAAAATCTGCGACGTACAAAAAGCTCATATTTACAAACTAATGATATAGTTGCTATAAAACGCACACAATTAAGTAGCGGTTCAAACAAAAGTTTTTAGATCCCTATCGAATTACTAACGTAAAACCAAACAACACTTACGATATCCAAAAACTGGGTAACGGCGAAGATCCAAAAACAACAACAACGTGCGCAGAATTTGTGAAATAATGGCTAAATAAATTTGATGACGACGATTCTACTTAGTTATTCGAGACGAATATCACGCAGGATGGCCGATATGTGGGAATGAAACGATATGGCAGCACAGAAAAGGCAGAAGAAGAAGAAGAGTATCAGCAAGACTTGTAAGAAGTGTACGACGTGCGGCAAGATAGAGCTGAATTAATTTTAATATAAATTCTTATATTTCTTTAAATTTCCTTTGTATTCTTCAAATCAACAGTTTTGTTTAATAAACCACATTATTAATTTGTTAAATATAATTAATCTTAACTACGTAATTGATCTTGCCCACACTAGTATTCTCTTGCAACTCGTTGCTCCGGAGTATAATAGTTTTTACCACCTAACGGTTGGACGTATCACCTGAAACTAAAAGATATAGATATATCTGATTGTCAGCGTTTTGGTCCACTTAATAGACCGCTTAATAGGTTGTACTTCTTAACCTCAATAATGTGCATGGTTTCTGGAGATGACCGCTTAATAGGGCGTCC